GTACTTAAATTGTCAATACTGGTCCTCTTGGAAAACACTGATTTATGAAAGATTAATTCTTTTAGGATAAAAAAAAAATAACCAACAATCTATTATTACTCTTCCCTGGGTAAAAAAAGTCATTTTCTCTTTCCACCGTGATGTATTATTTGTAATCACAAATCAATCAGAGAAAGAAAAATAACAACAGAATTACAATAGCCCAATATTTTCTTATTTTTTCCTTCAGACTGGTTATCTGCTCTCCTTGTGATGTCTGTCAAAAATCAATAAAGGGATATCGTACAACAACAAGTTATTGTAATGCCATAGAATGTACAGGAGGGAACCATATTATGCTCTGGTCCTGGAACTGCCAGTTCCTGCTCTAGAAACATGCATTGGCTATTCTGCCTGTACATGTCTGTACCTTCACAAGTAATCTATCATTCTAGATAGTACCCACTAGTTTCACTAAGACTCTCCCTGAATGCAATCAGATTAACAAAGCTCCTCTTGTTTCCAAGGTACTTGTATTATCACCAGCTTTTCAGTAATCTACTCAATGCTAGGCTAGGCTTGCTAATCTGATTGCCTTCAGCCAGAGTTCCTGTGGAGTTAACACGCAGTAGCAAACACGCAGTAGCAAAGTCCATAAATCCATTGTAAACAGGCCCTAAGCTACTCATTCTAACCCTGGCCCTGTACTCACATTCTCCTCTCCCCCCACTGTGATCTGCTGTCTCTGTGGGGTGCCTGGTCTGTCCACCTCTTCTCTCAGCTGTACCACTTCTATCCTCAGTCGTCTCAACTCATCCACGTCTACACCACCTCCAGCCAGCTGCTGCTTTAGCTGATCCTGGAATTATAAAATCAAAAAATTGTAAAAATTGTCTATATCTTAAGGCTTTCCCTTTGCTCACTCAATTCAGTGGTACTGAAATGTTTTCAAAGCTTAATTTCTAATAGCAGACCCTCTTTTTCATATAAACTTCAATTATTTAATTTATTTTCTAAAATATATTTATTTAAATACACATACCAATTCTTCTTTAGTCTGCTTGTGGGCTTGTAGTGCATCTTTCAATGCCTGAAAGTATAGTTCATGTTACAGTAATACAGCTTTGCTTTGTGAACTACTGCTCTGTAATTTTAGTTCTACTTCAATAATGTGGAAAAGAACAAGTCACTTTAAAATTTTTCTAGGAAAATTTTGTAAGCCCAAAAAGGTAACCTTTGCTAGAAGGAAAGCAGATAAAAAGAAAAAAGTCACTTGATTTTTTCAATGAGAAATTCTGAAAAAAAAAAAGACAGATGCAGAGAAAAGAAGTCAATTAAACATTTTATTCATGAACAATTTTGAAAGATTATAAAAAATCAAACCTTTTCTTTGAGTTTGAGCTCTGCATTCAGACTCTCAGAGTCAGGACTATCATAGGTAATAGAATGTTTGGGACTGCGGTTCCTGGCCATACGTAGACGCTCTATCAGATCTGAGAAAAAAAATCAATATCTAAGATCTGACAAGATCAAGATAAGATCTTTGTACATAAATTTTTTTCAAAAAGCACATGACTTTTATCAAAAAATTTCTCTTAAAAATAGTTTACTCCAGTTCATTTTAAGTTATAACAATTTAAAAGAATAAAATCATACTCTTACGGATAAAAAATGTCTTAGAGGAAAACATTGTTCATTATATGTCTGCAAAAGAAACCTTTAGTGTCATCATATCAATCCTGGTACCTTCTTTATTCTGCAAATCATTCTTCAACCTGGACACCTCGTCTCGCAGCCTGTGGAGTTCGGCCAGTTTGCTGGGGCTGATGCTCGGGGGCTGGGAGTCATGGATTTGACGGAACAGTTTATCCTTTTCCCGGGCACTCTCCACAAGGGACTCAATGGTCTTGTCCTTCTCGCTCAGAGCTGTGCGCATCTTGTCCAACATTTCCTGCTGCTGTTCCTCTGCCCACGTTGCCTTGTTCTCCAGGGACTGGAGGTAATAAAATGCAATATGAATATTGGGTCATTAAGACGCAAGAATAAATGTGAACTGAGAGGAACCGTGTGCCTCTGATATACTGAAAATGCATTTTTCAATCTAAGTATCAAATATGTGCTGACATACCAAGCCTGACTTCTCATTATGTTAGATTTTGCTTTAAAATTACAATGTTGGTGTACAATTGGCATTTGTTTGCAATACATTTAGTTATATCTTAAATGCCCTAGTAATAATGAATGCTTCATTCTTATAAATCACAAGAAACTTATTAACATCTGTGTCAAAGCAAATTATCTGAGAAAAGTGTAACAGACATGAAAATTACACAATTAAACTAGAGGATCAGAGAGGCGATACCGCCTCCGAATATTGTACCACCAGCCGGAGTAAGCGCGATCGTATAGGCCCCCCCCCACCCCCACAAAAAAGGGACACCACCACCAGTCTTGTGCTTGACAAGCTGTAAAAAATGCAATCAACAAGAATTCTCAAAATATGCAAAAAAATATATATAACTAAAATGGTACAATCAAAGTTCAGTTCATCGTAAGGTAGGTCAAAGGTCAATTTCAAGGTCACAGTAAATTTCCAGTATATATAACTTCCTATTCAAGTTCAACAGTAACTATGGACCTATCTCTGCCAGTTTTGGAGATAAAAGGGAAC